TCTGAGCTGTTGGATGCTTCCTGTCACCATGGCAGAGGACACAACTAGAAGAAGGTTGGAAGGTCAGGGCATGCTTTCTAGACAGCGCATTCCCTTTAATCCGAACACTTAAAAAAATGTTTTTAAAAATGCCAGCAAATGGGCACAATCTGGCTTTGCAACAGCCCGTGGTGGGGCGTGAGGTAAGATAGTGCCGTGAAGCAGGTGCCGTGCAAGCCCAGAGAGGCCGCCCGCCGTGCCTGCTCCAGACCTGTCTGTGGTGCATGAGCACGCCTCGTGGACAGTCCCTGAGGGAGTGGGAACAGCCAGATGGAAACGAATTGCATGGAGGGAAATGCGTGGCCGGAAGACCCTCCAGTGGCCTAGGCACAGGCGGGATCAACTCTGGGGTGGGTGGGCCTGTTGTTCAGTCCTTGAACATGTGGGTGAACGAACAGAAGTGTTCAAAGGTGGTCCGTTCACTGAGAGCGCCAGGTCCCAGGAAGATAGAAGAGCGGATTTGCAGTGCAGTCAGTGGATCAGACGGAGACGTGATGCGCTTTACCACACGTGGTAAAGTGGTAGCAGAAGTCCAGGCTAGCAATCCAGATTTGGCCTAAGAATGCATTGTGCAAACCAGAGAGTTGGGTGCTCGTGTGGGGAGAGAAGGTGGTGAGGGGAAACTTCTGCATCTGGCCTGTGGGCAGAAGAGGAGGCGCCCATGTGGAAGGCTGAGAGGGGCCATCGGAGAACCGGGAGGGACTCAGCACTGCCGTGGAATGAGGCAGCTGGCTCTTGCACGTGTTCTGAAAAACTTAGAGTCACAGTTTGTCCCTCATGTTAGAGCTGCCTGTTTTATCATTACGTTAGAGGTGGTTGTATTTCTTTTAGCATATGTGCTGCAGAAGCGAGCGCACGTTCGAGATGTTTAAGATGTGCATTGACGTTGACTGCTGGAAGATGATACCAGCTGTTTGTCATTGGAGGTTTTACTCTAGGCTCCTCTTAGCTCATGGGATTTTTAAAAATGTGTGGACCTCTCTCCTCGTTTCCCTTCCGGCATAGTTGCTGTGTCTCTGGAAGGTGTTAAGGGCTGTGAAAAGCTGAGGAAACAGCCCTGACGTTGTGTACCCCCAGCATGTCCCCTTGAGAGTCACATTCTGATGCAAATAAAGAAATTTTGTGACCCAGTTGTGCCTGTCCTATCTGGACGTGACCTTCCATCCAGTTGGGTTGATGTCAACCCTGGCCTCTCCCTCCTTCCCCAGATTGGCCCCCACCTCCTCCGGTAGCAGGGGGTGTCTGTGCCACCCAGGCGCAGCTGCACCCGTCAGTAAATTCCATTTTATAGACCAGGACACCTACCGACATGAGGCATGGTGTGCCTGACACCTGAGTCTGTGTGTGACCTCAGTGATTCCCCACATCGCCCTCTGCCTTAGGCCTTTCAATCTTCTGTAGACTGAGGGCCTTAGACGACATTTATTCCTCACGGTCTGGATGCTGGGGAGTCCAAGGTCAAGGTGTTGAGCAGGTTTGGTGTCTAGTGAGAACCCACTCTGTGGTTTATAGATAGCATCTTCTCACTGTGTCCTCCCTTGGCAGGGGGGTGGGGGAGTTCTTGGGATCACTCTTTTTAGGGCACTGGTCCCGTTTGTGAGGGCTCCACCCTCATGACGTCATCACCTCCAAAAGGCCCCACCTCCTAACACCATCGCATTGGGGGTTAGGATCTCAACATAGGAATTTGGGGGGGAAACAAGCTTTCAGACCATCTACACATCAGAATCACTAGGGAAGCTTTGGAACAGTATGGATTCCTGGGTCCCAGACGGTTAATGCATCCCACCCAGGGGCTGGTAATATTTGGAAAGCCTTGCCCCTTTTCCATACCAGAGCTTGGGTATGTTAGTGGAAAAATAGCAATAATGAGGACTGAGTATCTAGATCAGAGGGTTGGCAAGTGTTTTTTGTAAAGGGCCAGAAAATAAATATTTTCAGCTTTGCAGGACATATGGTCCTTGTTGGAACCTCTCCATTCTGCCATTCTATTTCAAAAGCAGCTGTAAACAGTAGGTAAACAAATGCATGTGGCTGGAATTGGCTCATGGGCCATAGCTTACCTCTCCTCCTCTAGATAACTAACCTTGCGCATGATGATCAGGCAAGCAGTTGAACTTGATGTTCACTAGGGGATACTTGCATTTGTGTAACAATATACTACAAGCAGACATAGTCCACTTGAGATACAGCAGGTGGGAACTACATTCAGCCACCAGGACAAAGACCTCTAAACCATTAAGCTTGAGTAAATTCAAAATGAATATTTCTCTTTTGTTAAAAAACAAAACAGAACAAAACAAAAAAACCCGAGTGGGTAGTCTAGGAATCAGTGTGGTGGCTCCATAATGTCATGAGAGACCCCCCAGTGCCTTCTGTCTTCTTCCATAATGAAGATGATCACGTGACCATAAAATGACTGCTGGTGCTCCGGTCATCACATCGGTAGGAAAGAAAGAAAAAGGCGGGGGAAGGTAAAAAGGCCCTGTAGGCTGAGGCAGGTCTCTGCTCAGGACTTCCTTAGAAGCCCCAGCGGTTTTTGCTTACATCTCATTAGCTACTCTTACCTGCGTGGCAGACAGGAAAATGTAGTTACATTTTTTTTCTTCCCTGAACACATTGCTATCCCCCAAAATAGTGAGGGAAATGGATACTGGGTGGGAACTAGCACTTGCTGTGCCCTGGGAGGCCCCACCGAGTGCCCCAAATGTGCTGTGTGAAATTCCCCTGAGCTCGGCTGGGTTTATTTGTGGATTCATCATGTCTCCGTTTATAGAGATTGGGAAAGCCTCAAGTCCCTTTTCTCCCCCTGCTAGTCGGGCCCTTCCAGATACTTTTGGGGTCTCATGTACACTTCACTCCTATAAATCACACACCTGCGTCATCGGGGTGACCGTCTTACCACTGCTGGGACCCTCAGTCCCAAGAAGCCTTTCCTCTCAGCAGCCTTTGTCCCTCCAGAAGTCGGTCTTCCTCTAGTTGGTATCTGCTCACAGTTGGCTCCCGCGGGTCCTCAGAGCATGTCCCCCTTTCCCTGTACAGCCTTTCCAGGAATGGTGAGCTCTCGGCCCCCTCCACCCTGAGACTCCTGCCTTCCACTGCCTGCCCTCTTTGCTATAATTTGGCTGCACATCATCCCGTAGGGCCTGTGCTTCTCAGATTTAGAGTGTGCGGTGTGAACCACCTGGGTTCTGGATCCGATCACTGCATCTGGGCTGGAGCCCGAGATCCTGCTCCTAACATCTCCCACACGAAGCCAACGCTGCCGGCCCATGGGCGGCCCTTTGAGTAGCAGGTGACCTGGGCCTTTTTGAACACAGCTCATCTTTTAATAGGTAGCAACCCAAACCAAACTAAGTTGCTTTAGTTGATCTAGAACAGAGCAAGGATTTCAACTCACTTATCCCAGAAGTTATCATATACCTTTTTTAAAAAAATTTTTTTAATTTTTGAGAGAAAGAAAGGGAGACACAGAATCCAAAGCAGGCTGCAGGCTCTGAGCTGTCAGCACAGAGCCTGACATGGGGCTCCAACTCTCAAGCCATGAGATCATGACCTGAGCTGAAGTTAGATGCCTAACCGACTAAGCCACCCAGGCGGCCCCCTTTTTACCTTTTTTTTAACGAGTCCTAAAGATAACCTAGATATTGTGGTGGCCATCCCACATTATTTACTTAGCTCAAATTTACTGAAATCTTTAAGTCTTTGTCCCACAGGCCACTCCTGTGCCGCGCTTCCCTATCTTTTATTTATGTCATTGGTTTTTGGAATTGTACAACCGGACACTTATCTTTCTGAATTTCATCACATTGGCTTAGACCCTCCCTCAGGCCAGTTGAGATCCCTTTGTCTGCCATCCAGTATATTTACTGTCTATCTCATCGTGGGGGCATCTAACAAATTTGACAGGGCTCCATTTCTCTGTCTGATTCCACTGGAAACTTCCGCCCATTAGTTTGAGTTCTGTGGCTTAAATCATCCATTCTTCTTCTTGTTCACAAGAGTGTTACAAGAGACCTTGGTGGTCGTCCTACCCAGGTTCAGATGTATGATGTCTGACTTGGGAATACTGGGTGGTTTCCATTCAGAGGCGGAATCTAGCGCTCACATGAGGGATGCCCGTGTTTATCATTATATGAGAGGTTTTGAGATGTGTATTGACATTCACTGATTGGCGATCACAATAGCTATTTCTCTTTGGGAACTTCACTCTCTGGACTGTTCTTGTGTAGTATTTTTAAATGCATTGCCCCCTCTCCCACATCAGTTTTCCCTCGAGATGTGATGGGTGTGTGTCCCTGGAAGGTGTGGGGGCCTGTAAAGAGCTCAAGAAACACTTATATTGTGTACCCCCCAGAATGTTCTCTTGAGAGTCCCATCTTGATTGAAAAAAAAGAAGTTTTATGCTTCTGTTGTGCGTGTCCCATCTGGATGTGACCTTCCATCCAGTTTGGTTGATGTCAACTGTGGCCCCTTCCTCTCTCCCCACATTGGTTCCCCTCCTCTGGGGAGAGGTCTATGCCATCCCAGTCACAGCTGCACTGCTTGTGTGTCCCAACGCCTCCTTGGGACGAGGTGCTGTTAGCTCCATCTTACAGGTGGCGACGTGTAGCCTGGGAGGGTGTGGGTTTTCAGCATCAGTCATGCCACGGTGTGCGTGTGACCCTCCTGGAGGCCAGCTGGACTGCCCGTCTCTGCCGATGCTGGGAAATGGAACACGGCGTGTTCTTCCCATCACCCGCCAGTCATGTTCTTTCTTGGACCCCTTTGTTGACACAGTACCCCTGAGGCCCTAGTTTTCCAGGCACTGGGCATCCCGTGGCCTTAGAGATGGCTGTGGCCCCTGCTTCTCTCAGAGCCGGCTTTTATGGGTGGAGCATCCCCAGCCCCCTCTCACCCTGCTTTGTAACGAGAGCTTGGAGAGAGGTTGACATTTTCCTTCTCTGTGCCTTTCTTGCCAGGTCTACATCCGGATCAAAGATGACGAGTGGAACGTGTATCGGCGGTACACAGAGTTCAGGGGTTTGCACCACAAGTTACAGAACAAGTTCCCTCAAGTGAGGGGCTACAACTTCCCACCCAAGAAGGCCATTGGAAACAAGGTACTGTCACCGCGGGGAACCGGGCAGCTCATGCACCAGCGCCTTATCAACACACACGTGCCCCTGTAGACACAGGGCTCAGAAGTTGGCAAATATGAGAAAAAGCAGGGACAAAGAAAACACCTCTGATTCCACGGCACATTGCGTTCTGTTCGCGTCCGCCTTCTCATCTCCCTAGGGCAGGCATCGGCAAGCCTGTTCTGCTAAAGGGCCCGAGGGGAACTGCTTTTGGCTTTGCAGACCGTACTACCTTACCTGACAATACGCAGCTATGCCACTAGAGTGTGAAGGCAGCCACGGGTGGTACGGACACGGATGGGCGGGGCTGTGTGCCAGTAAAACTTTATTCATAAGGAAAGATGGCAGCTTTATGTAGCTGATGAGTCTGTTTTCTCATGTCTGTTCTCGACCAAAAAAAAAAAAAATGTTTTCTGGCTTTTTTTTTTTTTTTTTTTTCTTTGAGCAATTTCTTTTTTTTTTTTTTTTTTTTTTTTTTTTTTTTTTTTTCTTTTTTTTTTTTTTTTTTTTACAAATAGTTTATTGTCAAATTAGTTTCCACATAACACTCAGTGCTCATCCCCACAAGTGTCCTCCTCCATGCCCATCCCCCCCTCCCCCCCTGTTTTCTGGCTTTTATCCATACTTACTTGGATTCAGGAATGTGGGTGGGGTTCCCCAAATACTTGTTTCCATATAGGGTTCTTGAAGGTCAGTGATTTAACAGCATCACCTGTTTCCGGGTGCTCATCCGGGTGCACTGGACAAAGGAGGTGCTCCCCCTCCACGCACTTGCCAGCTGACGACTGCTTGTTCATGCAGAAGTGTCTCCCGGACACCATCCTGCACTGCGGCAGGGAAGATGGGCCAGGCCTCGCGTGGGGGCCCCAAGTTGCCTGCTTCAGCCACTTGGTGTCATTTTGTCATCCCTGACGTTTGCTTAGGGCAGCAGTTCTCCATCCGGGCCACACTCAGAGTCACGTGGGGAACATTAAAAGCTACTAAGACCTTAGTCCCTCCCTCACATTAGGAGTTAGGTCTGGAGTGAGGAGGGGCATGGAGGACTCCAGCATGTAGCCGCGCTGGAGGACGCCTGGCTCTGAGCCTGGCAGGGGACCGTGTGCAGTCATGGGATGCTGGTGAGCTGGGCAGGGACACTTCAGCCAGAGGAGGTAAGCTCATGACCATCGTGAGGACAGGTGAGAAACTGGGCCTTGTAGGAGGGACCGTCTCCTACCGTGGTTCTCACAGCGTGGCCCCTGATGACCATCACATCACCTGGGAACTCGTTAGAAATCCGATTCCCTAGGGCTCCTGGGTGACTCATTGGTTTAAGAGTCCAACTCTTGATTTTGGCTCCTGATCTCATGGTTTGTGGGTTCAAGCCCCACGTTGGGCTCTGTGTTGACAGTATAGAGCTGTCTTGGGAGGCTCTGTCTCTCTCTCTCCCTCTCCCTCTTTCACTGCCCTTGGCTTGCTTGTTCACTCTCAAAAATAAACATTTAAATAAAATAAATAAATAAATAAATCCCGCCTCCCAGGCCCCACCACAGACCTGCTGAAATACCAGCTCCAGAGCTGGAGCCCAGAAATCTGGGTTGAGGGCTATGTAGTGCTTATGTGTGAGAACCATGCTGCAGCCACCCCAGCACAGCCACGTGGCAGATGCCATATGCGATGAATTTCCTAGTTTCTCTCTTGAAGAGGCACTTTGCAAGGGCCTTCCCTGGATCTTTCTCACGCAGAAGATCAGAGCAAAAGTTTTGATAACCACTCTGAACTCTTAGGAATTCTGCCAGGAAAACTTATTACTGCCTGTTAGGTTTACATGTTCATGGATTTCTGTGCTTTTGGATTAGAAACCTGATCACACCAGGGTCCATTAGATCTTAATTTAAACAGTTAGAAAACAAGCTTATCTGAGGCCTAGAATAAATGTGTCATTCCATTTTTTTTTCTGAAGATAAGTGGGAGTTGAGCCCATAAAAACAGAAGACTTAGAAATTCTACACTTGTTCATAGCAAGGAGGACAATAATTCTTGGGAAAAGTGGGGGGAAATTATACACTGATTTAATCTAATGACTTGCAGCCTCGTACAAATCTTGGGACCCATCCAGATGCCTTAGAATGTCATAAAACACATTTCTGTCTAAGCCCTGTATTATCAGCATAAGATACTGTCACTTACAGGAAGCTTTCTGCTGTGGTAGCCGTTCCATGACCACCTTGGGGAGCTCGGCCTGGCTCTGTCTCCCTACAGGAAATTAGGACAGGGCTGGGCCAGGGATGTTCCGATGGCCAGGTGCCTCACATTGTGTTTTTACCTCCCGTGGCTGCTGTACCAAAGTGGCACCTGTTTCGTGGTCTAAAAAACACAGATGTATTTTCTTCCACTCCTGGAGGTGAGGTCCAGAGTCTGCCTTGTGGGGCTAAAGTCAAGGAGGCAGTGGGGCTGATTGTTTTTGGAGGCTGCCGAGGAGAATCCTTTCCTTCTCTTGCTCCCAGAGCCTGTCTGCATTCCTCAGCTTGTGGCCTCCTTGTCTTTAAAGCCAGCAACCACGTGACTCTGACCCCAGCTTCGGTCACATAGTCCCATCTCCTTTTCTGACTCGTCTCCCTCATAAAAGGACCCTTGAGATGACAGCAGGTCCACCCAGATGAGCCACCGTAATCAGTCTCAGGACCCTTAGTCACATCTGCAGAGTCCCTTTTACCATTTGAGGTATAAAATATTCGTCGGTTATGGGATAAGGCATCTGTGGGGGCCACTCGATGCCACATGCTTTCCCCACAGAGCAAAGCAGCCCCTCCCACCTTGGGTCTCAAGGCAAGCCTCATAGTTACGCAAAACTTGCTTAAGACCAGACAAACCTTGGGGCATCTGGGTGGCTTAGTCGGTTAAGCGTCCAACTTTCACTTAGGTCATGATCTCGTGGTTCGTGGGTTCGAGCCCCATGTCAGGCTCTGTGCTGACTGCCAGCTCAGAGCCTGGAGCCTGTTTCAGAGTCTGTGTCTCCCTCTCTCTCTGACGCTCCCTGCTCATGCTGTCTCTCTCTCTCTCTCTCTCTCTCTCTCTCTCTCTCTCCTAGAAATAAATAAAAATATTTGAAAAAAAAAAAAAAAAAGACCAGACCAACCTACCAAGACGGGCAGCCAGGAGCAGGGATGCAGTGACTTTGTCCACTGAGTGCGCCCTCCCCAGCCTGGCTTCACATTCTCTCATCCTTGTCAATTCTGGGACTGACTCAGCAGCACAGGGCTCTTGCCTGTGAAATCGGTGTCAGTAAGACCCTGTCCACCCTCCACCCCCACCCCCGGTACAACCCTATTTGCAAATGAAGGAGCCTGGGAATTAAAGACACCAGCTCGGTGGGCCTGGCCTGGTTCTTCTCTAGGTTTTTGGTCCTCCTCCCCAAGGTCAGGGGTGGACCTGAGAGCTGTGAGCGGTCACGGGCCCTCTGCCTCTCGTCTAGTCTGTATGGCCCTTTGCCTTCGAGTTGGCTGGTTGGCCTTTGATTTTCTGTCTCCTTGTGCATTTGGCTCACTAGGAGTTCCCCCACTTCCCTAAAGTGCACTTTGGCCGCTGCCCAGGACAGATCTGAGGCTTTATCTGATTGTCAAGGGCAGATTGAGTCAGCAGACAGGACTTCAATGTCCAGCAAAGGCTACTGAAGAACCCTGTTACAAGAGACAGAGCCTGCACTGGCCCCGCCTGGGCCTACAGGCTCAAGACACGTGCCTTGTACCCTGAGAGTGAGTTTTCTAGCAAGTTTTCATTCTAAATTGGTCCAGAAAACTCTACCTCAGTAGAATCTTTCCCTTGATAGGTCACTTTAGGAAGGTCTCACTTGCCACTTGTACCATTATGGTACTCAGACATGACTTCTTTGTGTGGACTGAGTTACACGTGGCTTGCTACTGTTAAGTCTTGGACCTATTAAGTGATTCCATCTGGAATACATGGACCTGGACAGCATTTAAGGAAATACTAACTGTAGCTTTTTCAAATTCGTCGTGAGTGTCTTCCTCGCCTGGTATTTCCCCAACACTGCCACCATTATTGATTATCTGCCAGTTATAGAATTAAAATGTGATATGCGCCCAAGTTGGACCTTTTCTTATAGTTATTTTTTGAGTGAGAGAAAGCAGGAGAGGGCAGAAAGAAAAGGGGAAAGAGAATCCCAAGCAGGCTCCATGCCTTCAGCACAGAGCCCAACATGGAGCTCGAGCTCATGAACTGGGAGATTGCGACCTGAGCCAAAATGAAGAATCAGACACTTAATTGCCTGAGCCACCCAGGCGCCCCAGCTTGACCTTTTTTAAGTTGATAAAATAGCCCATTGTATAGTTTGTGGATACAGGATTTGTCTTTAGCAAAGAATTTCTTGTGCCTCAGTATGCCATGCCTGTGTTGCATCAGACATACCCAGAGCACTCACTAGGGCTACCCATGCCTTTACCTACTTCATCAGACTTGAATTGTGTTGAGGTAGTTTCCTGAACCTGAGTCCACCACTTGACGTGTATTCCTTCATTGCTGAGTCAGACAAGCCACTGTAGTTGTGTATTAAAGTTAGTCATTAAGTCTGAAATATTACAGGCATGGGGCTTGTATCCATTGTGAGATAGTCTTGGTTAGGCTAAAGTAACGACTCTGTGATCTTGGCCGCCTGAGCCAACCAGGATTTATTTTTGGCTCATTTTTTGTGCCCATCGTGGGCTGGCTGGGAGCTCTGCTCATCATGACACCAGGAAACTAAGGACAAGGGCAAATCATACACTGGCTCTTAAAGCTTCTGCCCAGGCACGGTATGTGTCAATCCCACTCCTTTTTCACTGGCCAAAGCCAGTGACTCAGCCATGTGTAATGCCAAGGTGGCAAAGGAGTCCACTCCTCCCACATGCCTTGGAGAATTCGAGTTTTACCATCAGCTCTCATGACCCCTACAAGGGGCCACGTGTCTTGAGCCACATTTCTGAGCAGGGTGGGGATAATGGGAG